ATACCTCCTAAGACTCATTTGATGAAGTCTTCGAAAGGAGAAATCAAACCTTATTAGATATGGTTAAATCCATGTTAAGTTTCACTACTATTCCACATATCATTGATGTTATGCATAATTGAACTTGATTTATATTTTGAATAGAGTCCATTGAGATCAGTTGTAAGGACGTCATATGAATCATGGCATGGCAAGAGGCCTTGTCTTCAACATATGTGAACCTTTGGTTTGTCTAGCATATGTGAAGAAACTTTTAACTGATAAATTGGAATCCAAAGGTGAGAAATGTTATTTTGTAGGCTATCCAAAGAAAACACGAGGATACTAATTCTATCTTTCTGGTGAACATAGAGTAATTGTCTTTAGACAGATGATGTTTCTTGGAGAATATTATTTCTTTAAGGAACAAGGTTGTGTTGTGATAGAACTTGAAAAGTTCAAGAAACTCAAAATAACATAAAAGTTCAAGAATTTTCGTTCGATATTGACAAAGATTTGGAGGGGAGTTCTTCAGCGGGTCGAGGATGTTAAGAGAGGTAGAGGTCGGCCTAAACTCACTTGGGAAGAGTCGGTTAAGAGAGACCTTAAAGATTGGAATATCTCCAAGGATTTAGCGGTGGATAGGAGCGCTTGGAGGCTCGCTATCAACGTGCCAGAACCGTGATTTTTGCTCCTTTTTTGTGTTTTGTTCGAGTCTTTTGTGTTTCTCTTGAGTTTCATCTCTAGCCTACCCCGACTTGCTTGGGACTAAAGGCTATGTTGTTGTTGTTGTTGTTGTTGTTGTATTGACAAAGATTTGGAGGGAGGTATTGGTGATTCCCTGCATAGAAATTTGTCATTTTATGGACAACTTCTAGCTAGTGGGAGTAATATGGGTGAAACTGCAGAAGTGCAGCACACTCATATAAAACCAATACCTATTGGCTTGGATGTCTTTTATTCTTAATAAACGCATGAAATTGATTTTGAGAACCCTCCAATCGTTGAACATATCAACATACAAGAACCTCATCACGATCAAAATGTACAACCACAAATTCAAAATATTAAACTCTGTAGGTTGACTAGAACTTGTTGTGAACTAATTAGGTTGTCTTTCTTCTTGGAGGATCACGACGATGTGGAGATTCTTAACAAGGATGATCTCAGGATCTACACTAAGTTTATGTAAGACATGGACTCAGGGAGGTGGCTTGATGCCATAAAATCATAAATGGACTTGATGTACTCGAATCAAGTTTAGAATTTGGTTGACTTGCCAATTGGGGTTAGACCTATTGGATGCAAATGAGTTTTCAAAAGAAAACAGATGCAAAGGGCAAAGTACAAACTTATAAGGCCAGGTTGGTGGATAAAGGTTATAGTCAACGTGGAAGCATTGACTATGATGATACCTTTTCACCAATTGCCAAGATTAAGTCCATTTGGATTTTACTTACAGTAACTGCATACTATGACTATGATATTTGATAGATGGATGTTAAAATTTTCCTTGATGGGAAATTGGAGGATGTATATATGATGCAACCTAAAGGTTTTATATCCAAGTCAAAGTCAAAACGAGTATGCGAGTTACAAAGGTCCAATAGTGGACTTAAGCAAGCCTCTGGGAGCTGAAGTGTTTGTTTCTACAAAGTTACATAATTGTTTGGCTTTGTGAGAAGTAAGAAGGATCTATGCATTTATAGTAAACGCAATGAGGGTAATATTATTTATTTCATATATGTATGTGACATATTGATAATGAAATGATGTTACTCACCTGCAGTTCATGAAAGACTGATTATCAAGTACCTTCATTGTGAGGGACTTGAGTGAAACTTGCTATACTCTTGAAATTAGGATCTATCGAGATAGACTAATAGAGTGTTAGAGTTTTCACGGTCCACGTGTATAGTAAAAGTACTGAAGTGTTTCTCCATGAAAAATTCTAACAAAATGGAATATTCCAATGGTCATGACGTTAAGTTTGCAAATAAAGATTGTCTTTCAGTTGATGTCAAACTTGGCCGCATGAAGAAGATCCCATATGCTTATGCAATGGAGTCTATCGTGCATGTTATGACATATATGAGATCTATATGTATTATGCACTTAGTATCACTTGCAGATTCCAATAAAATCATGGGGAGATATATTGGAAGACTATTAATACTATTCTTTAGTACATTAGATGGTTTAAAGAATATATTTTATCTTATATGGTGGGAATAATAATTTAATAGTCTTACATTAATTTTAATGATGAGGCAGTGAGTTGGAATAGTTCCAAGCAATAAATCACTGTGAATTCAACCGCAAAGGCCAAGTACATTGTTGCATTAAAAGCCTATGGAGGCTGTTTGGATACATGAGTTCTTAAATGAACTAGGGGTAGTTCCAAGTGCCATTTATCTAATATCTACATACGTAGATTGCACAGACAAAGGAACCAAGATCCAACAACAAAATAAACATGTACAAAGGCGTTATCATTTATTTAGAGATAATTGATAGAAGAGAAATAAGTTAGACTGTGTTCAAATTGAACATTACTTGAATGGTTCGTTCACCAAACCATTGTGCAGAGTTGAGCACAATAGTCATTTTAAGAAAATGGCTTTAGATACGTTGGTGATTGCCTGTAGTTCAAGTGGGAGATTGTTGGTATATGTGTCCCAGAGACAATCTTTTTAATGACATATATACATGATCACATTAACAATTATATTGGATTATAATTATGCTATTGTAATTAATTAAATAACTGTTTGACTGTTTGCAATTTACTAATTATCATATTGTTCCCTTGAGTTAATATTGTCATTAGCAAAGTGAGATGTTGATTGATAAAGTATAACTCTCAACTCGCTTCAATCAATGATCATTAAGAAAGGGATATTAATGATACGCGATAGATTGACATGTGGTCTGCATCACATTCTTGGAGAATATAGTATGTCTCACTGCTATGAATAATTGTTATTCGTGATGGACACATGGATACTTTGGAGAGTATTGACATACCCTACTGATAAACCATTTGTTTATGTGTTTATGGGAATATCGGTGTGTAGAATGGTGTAATAGTCCTTTGAATTGAGGTCAATACGCAATTCATGTTAGAGTGATTTACTTAGACCTATTCCAAAGCTTACGCCTTTATGGATAGATAGGGGCATGTGTTGGGTTGGTCACGATATACATGGAATTGGTAGTTGAGCCAAGATAGGATTCATTCCTCGAATATAGTTTTGAGAGAATACTCGTTCTCTATGCTGGGTTGATAAAGTCATTGGCCAATGCACGTGATTATATTTGAAATAGTGTTCAAATATAAGTGATAAAATCAACCAGTGAGATGAGATAAAATGATTAAGCTATTTGAATAGACACACGTTCAAATCCTAATCTTAATCGAGTGGTTCGTGAACAAAGGAACCGTATCACCATTGAGTTCTACACTAAAGGTTTGTTTGCTTTATCCACGTAAATGTACTTCATATTTTGAGTTCGTCCTTCGACGCAGTTTAGGAGTTTCGTAAGGATCATAAATTAGATTTATGTCAATATATGAAGGCCTATAGGGTCACACAATATGCAATTAGTTTTCTGGATAAGAGTGAATCGAGAGTGTTAAATATTCAATTGGATTTAAATATTTATTTTTGAGTAATGAGATTATTTTCTATTTCATGGAAATATTTAATTAAGTTAAATTAGATTTATACTTAATTAAATTATTAATTGAAAAATATTTAATTAAATTAAATTAGATTTACACTTAATTAAATTATTAATTGGATTAGATCCAATTACCTATTGGGCTTTAGGGTCTCCTAAGGCCCATATGATTAGATTTGACCTAATTATAAATACCCCATTATCTCGTCATAGTCTTCAATCGATTAGATCAAATTATTAGATAAGAGAAGAAGAGAGACACATCGTAAAATAAAACACTCTCTAGCTTTCTGGATCGAGAATTCCTAGTCTTCATCGGAAGGGATTCATTGGCGTTAGATCGTGAACCGTAAAACTGGATTGCGTAGATACCATAGTCGAGGACATAGACGAACAACTGTAATTTTTCACGCGATCTAGGATCATATCGAATAGCTATAGCCGGGTGTTCGTTGTTGGTAAGAAAATTTTAAAATTCCGCTGCGCGTACGCTGAGTTCGTACGTCAAAAATCCAACATGAACATGTCCCAAAAAGTGTCTCTTTTGATGTCTTGAACCTCGTGAGATGTGTTAGAACATCTATAAATTCCCGTGAAGTGATATAGTTACATACATCAAATTAATAAAAGCTCTTTGCATTTTTTTACAAAGTTCATAAATCATCTCGTGTTCTTAGTGTTCGTTTCTATCTTGAGAGTTCCAAAACTTGAGTATTATTTGCTAAAAATTTGTGTATTTGAGTTATCGCTATATAAAATAAAAACTTCGTATTTTGTAGACATTAGTCGTAAGTTGTGGGTAATATACGATATTATTTTAATTTAAGTAGAGCGTCTCTAAGGTGCCTTGACTTTATTCATTCCGCCGTTTTACTTCTGATTTCTTAACCGACTTTCTTGAGATACACATTCACAATTCATACACATATGATATAACTATTTGAATAGGAACGAGGTGGAAAGAGACAAAATTATCAAAAAAACATAAACAAACAACACGTATACATACTTAAATGTGAAATTACCTTTTTCCATCAACAGTCAACACTGCTTGGTATGTGTGTCGCCAAACCACAGCAATGATGACACGAAGTCATGATTTTCTTCAGCACTAAGCTTGAAGCATGGACCCACCACGCAAAACCTAATTAAAACCCCATATTTCATCACACCACACCACGTCATCAAGACCCCTCTCCTCTCCCCACCACGAGTAGTGTCCAACGACTCAAAAAGCAACAGCTGTAAAGGACTAAAATACCCTTGAATCTTCCTCCATAAATACCCCTCTTTTGTCCATCACTTCTCCCCTTTTCTCCCCCCCTTAACCCAGCCCCATGTTTTCCCCCCAAACGAACCATTCCCCACTTCACCTAACCGATTTACCCCTGTGGAATTTCCACGAACCGGACAATTCTACCCCCGAACCGGACCCAGAAAGACCCAAACCCGCACGCCCTCGTCTCTCCGTAGACGAGCGGAGACTTAGACGCAAAATCTCAAACCGCGAGTCGGCCCGACGCTTGCGGGCCCGGAAACTGAAGCACCTGTCGGACCTCCGGACTCAGGTGGACCGGCTCACGCTCGAGAAGCGGGAGTCGACGGACCTGTTACAGCTGGCGGTGTGTAAACACGAGCTTGTCCGCCGCGAAAATGAGCGCCTCGAGTCGGAAGCCGCCGCTCTCCAGCAGAGGCTATGGGAAGTGGCCGGAATCTTGAAACTCCGGCAGAAATTGAACCCATTACAGTTTGCTGCATGGACATGCAGTGATGATAATGATAGTTTTGGGTGCTCTAGTGAGGAACTATTGGCGCTCAACTCCTTAATTGCGTTTCAGAATCAAATAAATTAAGTCATTGATTAATTTGTTCACTATTGGTGTGGCGTAGGGATTTGTATAGGTATGTATGTGTTCGTAAAGCGCATATGTATTTTATGTCCCATNTGTATAATTCGGCCAAATCCATTCGTAAATATTGTTGTAACTAATTAAGGTTTCATGTCATGTATTTGAATTTTGAAAATGCCTTTCTCAACCATGTTCCCGTGATTATATTAACTAGTATTCGTCAATGTACACATGTACAGATACAAATTATATGTATATATACAATATTTAAAATTTTAAATTAGATAATGGATGTATCACATTTTCAAATTTTTGACTATACACAAAGGTACAATATAAATATAAATTATTGAACATGAATATGAATTTTTATATTGATGACATAAATTTTAATGTAATTTTATAATTTAGAGGGACCATAGATTAATTAGTTAGAAAAATATTACAACTATTTTTAGTGTTATTATAGTAATTACTTATGTAATTTTAAGAAGTTTAATTATAACACTCATGTCATTTGACTAATATTGAAGGAAAATCGCGTAATAAGACGAAAAATAATATTTATTATAGAATAAGTATCTTAATAAAAAAAATTACAATACAATTTTTTTATAAGTATGTAACTTTCACATACTATTTAATGTAAATTTATAATTAGCTAGTATTAATAGTAATTATTGCATAATAAATTAGTTTAAATTATTATTACACTTTATTAATGTATAATGTAACAGTTCAACATTAATTAAAAAAAAGAAAGATTTTTAGGCGGGAAAAAGAAGAAAGGTTTTATTTATGAATTAACCAACAATTATATATATAAATTAATTATTAATTAAGAAAAGTTAGGGGGTGTTTGGATACAGAATTGTTCCGTTTTAACTCGTCTGGTTCAAAGTTCCCGTTCCTTGAGAACTTATCATTGATGATTCAAAGTTCCTTGGGAACTTAAATAGGTCTTATCATTGATGATTCAAAGTTCCCGTTCCTTGGGAGAGCCCTTCTCTGTTTAGAGTCTTATGGTTCCATTTCTATGGATTCAAAGTTTAATTTTCAGGCCCTCGTTATTTTCACATAATATCCCCAGCCTATTTCTATTTGATCCCTGCTTATCTCCGTTTGTTTTCTTTTTTCAAGCTTATCTCTGTAACCTTGCCCCTAATTAGGGTTAGGGTTTTTAGAAATTTAGGGATTAATCCCTCATCTGCTCTGGTGTCTTATTGTTTCCTTTTCCCATTCTGTAGGTTTTCTTTGAGTCGCTTCCTTGTGAGTTTCTGTAGCATGGAGCATGACATAATTGATAAGATGCAAAAATTCAGCCTCTCTTCAAAAGAGAACGCCGAAATTCTTCTGTCTGAAGATGATATCGAACCAGGGGTTCATGAATGTGCTCTTAGCTTAATTGGCAGAATTGTTGGCGAAAAAAGGGTGAATCTGGGCGGCCTCAAAACCACTTTAAACCTAGTCTGGAGAACGCGAAAACCCTTTGCCATTCGAGTATTGGGGGTGAATCTCTTCCAATTTCTATTTCAATCAGAAGATGATAACAAAGGGCTTTAAATGGAAGAACATGGTCTTTCAATGGCCAATACCCACTTCTTAAGGAATGGAAGAAGAATAACCTAGATTTCGAAGCAAATGAAAGAAAGGTGGAGCTGTGGGTTCATATTGTCAACCTCCCTCTTCGCTGGATTTCTGAGGAAACTGGAATCAAAGTAGGTAAACTTTTTGGTGGGGCTATAGATGTTCTGGTTCCAGGGCTGGGGAGTTCCTTAAACAGAATTGTCAAAATTTTGGTGAAGGTCGATGTTGATGAGCCAATTCCAAGAGGAACCAAACTTAAGCTAGGCAATGAGGTCCAGTGGATAGATTTTCGCTATGAAAACTTGCAATCTTTCTGCTATTATTGTGGACTCATTGGCCACAGTGAACGGTCTTGCAATGTTAAAAAGGAAGATATCAGTAAAAATCTGCTTCGGTCGGGACAATATGGTGAGTGGCTTAAAGCAAACTTTGGGGGTTTTGGGTCCTCGATTTAAAGCAGGGAGAGAAGATTAAGCCAACTAGGTAGTGCAGAAGGGGAATCTGAAGGCAGTAAATTGAAAAGTGGAGATACAGATAGGGGGTAAGGGTCGACACAGGTTGGATTGACACCGGTGAACATCCCTGTCCTTGACACCCCTGTAGTTGCTGCCTCCTCAGGTAATCCCATTTCTCTAGGGGAAGGGTCAAAAAGTATTATCCCTGAAAAATTAAATTCTACCCCCATTTCTGAAACTCAACACAAGACCCACACCATTACTGATAATCCTATCATTTCTGATAATCCTATAATTTCTCTCTCTGTTGCCCCTCTTGATAATCTCATCCCTCTCAATAGCCCTCCTGCAATCTCCAATACCATCCAAAAAGAACCCTCTACTGTTAAAAAACCCACCAGAAAAACTCTTTCTAAAAAATCCAAATTAGGAATCTCAATATCTGAGGAGCATATGTTGGTTGATAATCTTGTGGGTTCTACCATGGTTGGTATGAATGATCTGGGGAAAAGAAAGCTCCATTCTTTTGATGATTCTAAGTCTCAAACTGTTTATGAGTTAAAAAAACAAAAAATTGGTGAAAATCTTGTTGATGTTCAGGTGGAGGAAACCAGCCTTAAATGGTCCCGGGGTCTCCAATGAAAGCTTGTATGTAGAATTGTAGAGGTTTGGGAGGGCCCTCTACAATTTCCCAGATCAAGGAGACCCTTAGGGCCCACCTCCCTGACCTTGTTTTTCTCTCTGAAAAAACAAAGAAAAAATGTTTTGTGTCCTTGATTTGTAAAAAATTGGGTTTTGATAATAATTGGTATTATGTTGATCCTTTTTCTTCTAGAGGTGGCCTTTTAGTTCTTTGGGCTCCCACTGTAAATATTTTTGACATCATCAGCAACCCCTTTTGTGTTGAACTATGTTTCTCAGAGGTGGGTTGTTGTGTTAAAAAATGGGCTACCTTTTTGTACTTTGCTCACATGTGTATAGTGGAGTGTGGATTTACTGGCAATCCATTTACTTGGGCAAATAATAGGGGGGGTTCTGAGTTTATTGAAGCTGAGCTTAACAGGATCTTCCTATCTCCTGATTGGCTCTGTCAGTACCCAAACTCCTTGGTCAAGCACATCTTTATGTCTTCTTCTGACCACTACCTTCTTCTTTTTGATTCTGATGCCTTAGTAAAAAGAGAAGGACAAAGATTTCACTTTGATAGTAGGTGGACTTCTCTGCCTGGGTATGATAATTGTGTAGAGAAAGCTTGGGGTGCAAGGGTTTAGGGCCCTCATTTATACAGCTTTCAGAAAAAGTTGAGAAATGTGAAATTAGCACTTTTGGAATGGAAAGCTCAACAGAAAACAAACTCATCTGAAATGATCAGAATCTGCAATGCAAAGCTTAGCATTTTGGGACAACAAGGTAGTGACAGGGACTGGGATGAGTGGCTTTTCTGTAAACAGGAGCTGCAAAGAGCCTACTCTACTGAGGAAGCTTACTTGAAAGCAAAGTCCAGAGTTCTGTGGTTGCAGCAGAGAGACAAAAACAGCAGATTCTTCCAATCTTGTGTTAGAATGAGAAGGCACAGAAACAGCCTCACCAATCTAGTTAAATCTGATGGGACCACCTGCAATGATGATAAAGAAATTATGGAGGAGATTTTGCAGCATTTTGAAAAGCTTTACAAATCTGACAATCCTGCTCATGATTCTACTTGCCTTCATGGTCTTCAGAAATCTATCACAGAAAGAATGAATACAGAACTCACAAGGAATGTGGATGAGAAGGAACTCAAAGCTGCTCTCTTGGATATGGAGCCTACAAAGGCACCAGGTATTGATGGGTTTACTCCTAAATTTTTTCAATCATCTTGGCCTCTCATTAAATCTGACCTCTGTCTTGCTATCTCAAGTTTTTTCATGCATTGTCAAATCCCTAAGGCTACTAATCATACTATTATTTCTCTCATTCCCAAAACAAAAAACCCCCAAAAAATTTCTGATTATAGGCCTATTAGTCTTTGCTCTGTTTTGTATAGGCTTATTTCTAAAATCCTAGCTAATAGACTCAAGAATGTTCTTTCAACTTGCATTTCTCCTGCCCAATCTGCTTTTGTCCCGGGCAGGCAGATCATTGATAATGTTATTATTGTTAATGAATGAGTGCATTTTCTTAATAGCAAAAAAAAAAGGGAAAATTTGTTTTTTAGCCTTAAAACTTGATATGGCTAAGGCTTTTGACCGGATTGAGTGGGTTTTCCTCTTTAGTGTGTGCTCAGCCTTAGGTTTTTGTGATAAAATTTTGAGGTGGATTTGGGTTTGTATTTCTTCTTCTTCATTCTCTTTTAATTTGGGGGGTGAGCCTAAAGGTTTTTTGCAGCCTTCTAGAGGCCTTAGACAAGAGGATCCTTTATCCCCTTATATGTTCATAATTTTGTCTTAGACATTCCCTAATCTAATTCACCAAGCTTGTATTTCTTCTTCATTTCAAGGATTTCAAATTAGTAAATTTGCTCCATCTATTACCCACCTCTTTTTTGCAGACGATTCCCTTATATTTTGCAAAGCCTCTCCTCAGCAGGTTACAATCCTTTTTGATATCATCAATAGATTTTGTGCTGCCTCTGGCCAGCTTGTAAATTACCATAAATCTAGTATTTTCTTCTCCAAAAACACTTCCAATTCCCTTCAGTCAGCCATTTTTCATATCCTAAGGGGCATTTCAGTTGTGGAATCCTCTAAATATTTAGGGCTCCCTCTTGGAATTGGTAAGTCAAAAAAAGATACTTTAAAATTTGTGAGTGAGTGTGTTCTTTCAAGGGTTTCAAATTGAAAGAATAAGTTTATAAGTGAAGCAGGCAAGGAAATTTTGATCAAGACAGTTCTTCATGCTCTTCCAACTTATGTAATGTCTTGTTTCAAAATTCCATTAGGAGTGTGTGTTGATATTTGTAAAATCGTGGCTAATTTTTGGTGGGGCCAAAATGAGGAAGGCAAGAATAAAATCCATTGGGCTAAATGGGATTTCCTTACTCAGTCAAAAGAAGAGGGTGGTCTTGGTTTTAAAAATTTAGTCATTTTTAATGAGGCCCTCATTGTTAAGCAGCTTTGGAGGGTCTTAACTAAGCCAAACTTGCTTATGAGCCAAATTGTTAGGGGAAAATACTTCCACAATCAAAACATCTTTGACATCTCTCCAAAAAGCTCCGATTTATGGCTTTGGAAATCTTGGCTTGGTGTGAGATCTTCTCTTAAATTGGGTTTGAGGTATCAAGTGGGGAATGGAAAGACCATTTCAATCTGGAACTCCCCATGGATTCCTGATGTTCCTGGTTTCATTCCATACTGTTGCTTTGCTGCTGATAAGGAGAATTTGCATCTTGTCTCTGATCTTATGACTGCATGTGGCACACAGTGGGATGAGGAGCTCATTCTTCAGACTTTCAGACCATTGGATGCAATTAGCGGATATGGCCTCAAGGATAAGCTTGTTTGACACACTAATTCAAAAGGCACTTTTACTATAAAGGATGTATATAAAGCAATTGTGGCCAGTAAGTTATCTTCTTGCAGTTCCTCTGTTGCTTCTTCAAGTCTCAATGCTTCTATCAGGAAAAGATTTGGCAAACCATATGGAAACTGCCTATCCAAAATAAAATCAAGAATTTTTTCTGGAGATGCTGGAATGGCTTTTTGAGCTGCAAAGTTAGACTAAAATCCAAAGGCTTGTGTGAGAATTCCATCTGTGACTTGTGTGGTGAGAATGATGAAACATTAAAGCACATCCTGTTCTTTTGTTCCAGAGCTGTAATTGTATGGAAGTTTGCTGGTTTACAGTGGGACTGCTTGGCTAATAATGTGATAACTTTCCAGGCCTGGTGGGAAACCTTATATTTGATGAAGAGGACCTTAAATTGGGAAGATAGAATTTCCTTATCCATCTACTTATTGTGGTGGCTATAGAAAACAAGAAACACATGGGTATTTCAAAAGTCTATCATTTCTGAGAGGCAACTTGTAACACTTGCAATGTTATCTTGGCTTGAATTTTCAGACATTGGCAATGCTATGCATCCCTCACAGGACACCCATGGAAGAGCAGATACATCTCTTGCTGACAATAAAGGTAAAGGAGTAGGTCAACACTCTCTTGTTGTCAGGCAGAAGATGGGTTTTATTATATGTTGAGATGAGATTCTGTTGCATTGCTGGTGGTCTCATCATAGCAGTTTTCAGGACCAAACTATGGCTGTTCTTTTTGTGATCAGACAAGGCCTTGATCTTGCTCACCGTAGGGGACGGTCTGACCTGGCTTGCAAAATGGAGGATAAAGCTGTAGTGAAGGCTCTGTCTACTAAGACTTCTTTTCCATCCACCTATAATGCTATTGTGGATGATATTTATTTCTTAATTAGTTGTCTTAGGTCTGTTTCTTTTGTTGTTGATCAGTCTGTGAACTTGGTTGTTTGGTCTAAGGCCATGTTGGTCGATGAGGGGAACATCTAGCTCAGATGCTTCTTCCGTATGTGTGTACTTGTTTAACCCGTTGGTTAACCGAACTATGTATCTTATGAGTTGGTTTAATATATTNAAAAAAAAAAAAAAAAAAAAACTCGTCTGGTTCGGGTAACGTGAGTTATTTTGGGACAATTTGCATTGTACATAGTTCAATTACTAATGATGTTTGAATACAAAACAAGTTTTGCGAGGGGACAACCACTTATCACGTCGACGAATGAGACAAAAAAGTTGATTACCTATTTTTATATTACATTTCTTCGCACATTTTTTGCAGTAAGCCAATCTAAACAAGATTTTTTTTATTTTCCAACACAGCTTTGTTCACGGAATACGTTCTCTGCTCAAAATAAATGATACATTTAAGCACAAGAAGAGAAAAAACACAGTATTTAAAAATAATTGAACCATCTTCCTACCAAGTTCAAGATTAGTCAGAGATGGAAAATCCCCCTTAGTTAGACTACGGTGAGACAAAAGTCGCTCATCTTCAATCAAAGACTGTATCAACATGTTGATGGTCGGATCTTTCGGAGGATGCTTGCACCTAACAGGCAGGCTGGCCAACCAGGTAAAAGAAAACAGAAAGGATAAGTTGGTCCGACATGGAACAACCTTGTTTTCCAACCAAAAGTGTTTGATGGCAGGTCCTTTATGAAATCGACTTCGTTGGGAGCTACAAGGTACAACGTTCCTTATTGGTATTTCGTTATAAAACAATACTTAAAAAGTTTGCTATCGAAGTAACCTAATCTAATCTACCTGCTGGGAGATTATGGAGACTGACGTCGAGGAAGCTGTAGTGGATTTCTTCTCAGGACACTAGATGCCGGAGTCCTTCACAGCAACATCTATTGTTTTGATACCCAAGATACCTGGCCCGAGTGCCTGGTCCGACTATAGACCTATCAGCCTCTATAATGTAACCAACAAGATAATCTCCAAGATCCTTAATGATCGATTAGGTCCTCTTCTCCCTTCCCTTGTCTCTCCGAACCAGAGTGGATTCATCAAGGATTGAGTCATCAGTGATAACATCCTTTTGGCTCAGGAGATGATTAATGACATCTCCCATGCGAACCGGTTACGAGCCCCGAACCTTGTGTTGAAGCTAGATATGGCTAAGGCAATGATAGGGTCGAGTGGCTATTTATCATGGAGGTTCTGTTTCGGATGGGCTTCCCTGAGCATTGGATTAGTTTTGTGGAGGCGTGCGTAGAGCACTGCACGTTCTTGGTTCTAGTTAACGGAAGCCCCACTGACTTCTTCCCCTCCACCCGTGGCCTTCGGCAGGGTGACCCCTTATCACCCTTCTTTATTGTCCTGGCGGCGGACTGCCTGTCTCGTTTCCTTGATGGCTTCATCCGCGACTTCCCGAGGATGACCTATAGCACGCGCGGCTACGGTCCTCTCGTTTCGCACCTCTCTTATGCCGATGACATTATTATCTTCACTCGTGCGGATAATAATGGACTGGCTGAGCTCATGCGCCTCCTAGGGCACTGTAGCTCGGTCTCTGGTCAGCTGGTCAGTGTGCAAAAGAGCACCTTCACCCTTGATCATCACATTGCAGACCAGTGGGCCCATTGGGTCCACGAGCACACTGGTTTTACGTGGGACGACCTCCCCATTACTTATCTTGGAGCCCCTCTTTACAAGGGCCACCTCTCGCATGAGCTCTTTACTAGCGTCAGGCAGAGGATGATTGACCGGATCTTCGGTTGGTCTCACAGACATCTCTCCTTTGGAGGTCGACTTGCTCTGATCAAGAGCACCCTCAGCACCCTTCCGCTCCATCTCCTTACGGCCCTTGAACCCCACCAGTCTACTATTCATGAGTTAGATCAGATACAGGCTCGTTATTTTTAGGGGCATGGGGAGGGCTCCCAGAGATGGAGATAGGTTCACTGGGTGAGGCGGGACTCGGTTTGCTGCCTCTTATCTGAGTGGGGTCTTGGGATACGGTGTTTCTCGGATGTCGTCACTGCATTTTCGTATAAAATGTGGTGGCTCTTTAGGAAGGGTAAGTCACTCTAGGTGCAGTATCTTCGCCGGAAGTACTGTCCTGGAGGCGCTGCCCATCCCTATCGGGTGACGGCTATCGCCCGCGATAGCAGGCAGTGGAGGCGGCTTACCAGGGTTTGTAGACGTGCTCAGGAGCACATTTTTTGGTCTCTGGGGAGGGGGAGGTTAATTTTTGGGATGAGTGGTGGTTCGGTGAGGGTCCCCTTTTGAGCACTAGACAGGTCACCCATCTTCTCTTTCTGCAGGTGAAGGATCTGTGGACAGAGGGGAGATGGGATATGGATAGGCTAGAGAGGATTCTGGGTACTGGAGCGGGCCTTAGTGATCAGGTGATAGATGAGATCCAGCAGATTCCCATCTCGGAGGACGGTTTGGACGGTATAAGGTGGAGGCTTACATCTTTGGGTGCATTCTCTACGACCTCGGCTTGGGGGGAAGTACGGCAGGATGACTGGCCTAACCTTCTCTTCGGGGCCATCTGGACCGACCTACTTACCCTTACCATATCTGTTTTCCTTTGGCACCTCCTTTTGTGCCGCCTACCGATTGACACTGTGATGCAGACGAGGGGGTTCTCGTTCCCCTCGCGTTGCTACTGTTGTGCCGAGTCTGGCTATTTTCAGACAGAGACCTTTACCCACCTGTTGTTAGAGAGCGAGAATGTGAGGAGAGTGTGGGAGCATTATACCAGTTACACTCATATCCCCCTACGCTCCACAGATACATTCTTTGAGCTTCTGAGTTTTTTCAGACACCGCACACAAACTAGACACGTGAGCTTCCTTATTCCTTGTCTGATCCTTTAGGCCACCTGGACAGAAAGGAATAACGTGAAGCATAGGGATAACCCTTTTTTTTATCTTCTCATATTATTTTGCAGCTTGACCGACATCTTTTCCTCCTCATCGCGTTGGGCAGACTCACCCAGAGAGACTGGACAGGCTGCACGCCACCTCACCGCCTTGCACCACCTCCGCTGGTGCCTGTCCAGATAGGGATCATAGCGGCGCCCTTATTGTCGAGTTTCATGCCCCTCTTCGGGCCTCCTCGAGCTATGACACGGAGGTTCAGGCACTTCAGATCGGTCTGCAGATTGCCGCCTCGATCTCCTCTCACATTTGGATAGAGTTGGATGAGGCCGCTGTCATCACTCTTCTGTGATCTAGACATCAGGGCACGTGGCAGATCCAGCATCCTCTCATGCGCATCAGAGCCACTCTCCAGTCGATTCGCTTCCGGATCTGGCACATCTTCCCTGAGGGGAACCGGCCAGCTGACTTCCTTGCTGCCTCCACCCCTCATAGACGCATTCTTTATCCTGACGATATTCCTATCCGCCTCCGCACCCTCATGTGGATGGACCAGATGGGATACCCTTCATTCAAATATGTGTAGTCGGACCTACCTTTTGGCACACCCGCCACACTGCGATGCTAACTTTCTAGCCGGGACTCCCCACCGGAACATGACCTATTATTTTCATATTTCCCGCTGCAGTTGTCAGCTTTTCTCTGTATTTTTTCTTTTCTTTGTTGTTTTTTAGTTTTTCATTTGACTGGATGTATATCAGACATTGGACTTGTAGTTTTGTCACTTTTCGTTTCATTTAGGGCATTTTATATACAGGTTGGGGTTTTTGCCTTAACCCCCCACCCTACTAGGGTGTTGGTTTTAAAAAAAAAAGTAACCTAATATACAGTGACACAGTATGTCAAAGCGCACTAAATTTCTAACAGAGTTCGGGGAATGCTAGTTAACGGGGAGCTCATATACATTAACTAAGTCCATGAATACCGGGTGAATAGGAAACTTAAGACCAATCTCAACCTGGTCGCATATGAAGGTGTAGCAGCCAATAGGTGGTTGGTCGTAGGTGTCAAGAGGTCGGGGTGATAACTAAATGCCAGCCCTCAGTTAACCTGCCCAAAATTTTATAATGCTCAAGTTAGTCGTCCTTGGCCTGGAGAAAATTATTAAATTTTTTAGCAATCGAAACCATGTCTTGAGCAGTAAAGAGGTGGGGTCTGGAATAGGAATTATAGTAATGGAGCTAGGGCAAGGAGTAGGTCGGGAGGAGAGTCGATATCCTCTTCGAGCTTAATTTGAGATGTCGAGAAGACAGAGGAACAAATGAAAGGAAGGTCATGTGCGCCATCATCGTGACATCGAAGTCGCAGGTTGCGCGAAAATCTAAAGTAAAAAATCAAAAATATGTCTAAAGAGTTTGGTTAAAATAAATATGACCTCACAAGATGTCAGAAATTTGAATTTCAAAATTTGAAATTAATACCCTGGCCCTAAGTTGAAAGGACTACTCAGAAAGGAAAAGAGCAAGGTAGAAGGTCGACTAGAAGATTAGCGAGCTGAAGGAACACGACCCAAGACATTCGATGCCACTCTTACATCGATTTATCCTAATAACTCAACCAAAGTGTTGGGTGATGGGGGAGGGGGAGGGGTGTACTAGATGATATAGGATACTATACGAGGTCGAGTATGACCTAAGGAGCGGTTCGACTGGATAGGGTGGCGTAGCAGGTCGAAGAATCACTACATCGATGGTGACCTCACATATAAGGGAGCTCATCAGCATGTCGAGCTAGGGCTCTCGGCTTGTCTACTCGATCTACATGTAGGTAGGTCGATAGTGCGACCTAAGAGAATACGTTGAAGGTCGAAGCAACCTGATTTGAGGGAAGCTGAGCTGGTCGAACAATTAGACTGCATAATGAGGTAGCTCCAATGTGAACATATCACATAAGAGATCAGAAGTAATATTATTAGGATAAGAACCATACGTGAATATGACTACTTAGAATAACATAATCTGACGGTTTGGGCACCCGGGTAATCGGTCAACCCAACCGAACTGTCTTAGGCAACAAAGTAACACCCCTATATAGAAAGGTGAGGTATGATCATTCATACTTTTTACACACACATACAAGCTTGATCGTCGGAGTCTATATGCCAGGACCACTCCCGGTGCTTTTTTGCACAAGTATTTTCACCGGTCGAGAGCGAATCCAGATCGTTCGAGTCCCATCGATGTCATTTATACACCAATATA